GGGGGCCAGACTGCTCATCCAGACCCACCAGAAAGCCTCGTCCAGATCAAAGCGCGTGATGCTCGCCAGCTCACCTGGCTCCAGCTGACGTTCGGTTTCCAGCCTCGGGTGGTGTGACTGAGAGCTCCTCTGCCTGACGTTGGTCTCAATAGGAGGTAGGACCTTGTCGGGTGGCAGCAGGTGGTTTGTGCGAGTGTTCTGACCGTCGTCCACGAATCCGGAAGACAAGAAGTCGGCCCATGAAGGTGTCGTGGGTCTTCCCATGTCTACAGCGCCGGACGCCGGGGTTGTCCTCAGACCCTGTCGAGGTCGCCGGGCAAGTGCCGAGTCCTCGTCTTCCTCGTCATCTTCAAGCGTACTGGCGAAACCAATGTCCTCGAAGCGTGACCAGGAGGCGTCTCGAAGGCCTGTAGAATGCTTCGAATTGGAGACCTGGCTCTGGTTGGCAGATGAGATGGACTTAAGAACTCGTCGGCACTCCTCAGTCAGGGCTCGGATGGGGTCCTCAAAATCGGAGAACTCTTGAAGTGCGCGATCCTCATCGCGGAAGTGGAAGTGGCTGGCGCGGCGCAGTAGGGCGAAAGGGGTGGGTGACACAGTATCAACGATCATGACAACCTTGTTCGTAGATGTCTGCATCAGTGAGGGCCGCTGGGGTGGATACTCGGTCTCCTGCAGCAGCTTCTGCAGAGACATGGGCAGCATCGAGATGCCTCCCTTGGAAAGCTGTGGCGCGACGGATCTGAGATAGGCGAAGAAAAGGTGGCTCGTGGCGTCAGCAGCACTGCATTGTCCTGATTAGTATCAACTAACGCGGGTTGCGCACTATCGCAACTGACCTCGACCACGACTTGTAGCCGCCCTCAAAGCCGCTCCCCGTGTCCTTCTGCTCGAAGGCCCACCATGCAGCCATACGTGAGAGCTTGCGGCCGCCCAGGCCGTTCATCTTGCCATGGGCGGCGATCGCGGAGATGAGATCAAAAAAGTCAAAGATGATGCATGATCGCGCGCCGTTGTCAACGCTGAGAGGAATGAACGTTTTGAACGAGTCGCGCGCCATGTTGGAGTCTGCGGGGTCCGCGTTAGGGGAGGGCCGTTCCATTTCCCGGTGTTCTGTCTGAGACACCAATGGTGAGACATACCTTGCTCGCCAACCTTGAAGAGTTCATAGGCGTCCCAACCCACCACACCGCCTTGGAGTCTGCTCCAGCACCATTTCATGACGCCGGCAATGACCATGGGCTCGGTCATGCGCAGCTCTTGCGCCAATGCCTCGCCGCGTTGGTTGCCATCGAAAAAGTGTCGGACAAAGGTGCGCACGGCGCTCGGGTCCGACGTCGGGCGAAAAGGTAGAAGCAGGAATGGAAGATCGAGGGCTGCAGGACATGGGAGTTAGCTCTGTGGTACCGTTGTACAGGGCAGGGGCAGAAAGGTCGCGCAGCAACCAGGAAGCAGTGCGAGTAGGGGTGGCCGTCATACCTCGAGCCTTGAGCTCCTCCGTGGCACGCCTAATTAGATCCTGGATTTCCTCTGGCTCAATGGTACTCCTGGTGTAGGCGTCATCCCATTTCGGTTTCAGGGGCTGGAGGTCGGCGAGGGCGTCGTGGTTGGCGCCCTTCTTGGACTTGAGCTTGCCGGCATCTTTGCCCTTGAGGCGGGAGAAGAGACTCGGCATGGCTGCAACAGCAACGCTCGCAGTCGTGATGCAAGTTCTAGGTTTGATTGCAGGCCCGTGGAGCTCGAAGGCGAGGCGCGAGAGGAGGGGCGTGTTTGGGTGGATGGTGGAGATCTGAGGACGTCTGCTGCTGTCTGCTCTGCAGGAACGCGACAGGATGAGGGGTGTGGGCTCCGCACGGGAGGGTAATCGAAGGCAGTCGATATGAAGGAAGGCGCGAAGGCGCGTTGGTCGGCGTGGCGGTAGTTGGAATTAGGTAGGTAGGTACGCCGGGTCGACAGGCGGGCAAGGTGGTTGACACGAATCCCCCGCGCTGCGTATCACTTCTTCGGTGGAGAGACGAAGATGTGGGCTAGAGTAGCAGCAGCGAATGGGAGGAAAACGCAAACAAGGCACTCAAGGGTATCAAGGAAAACGGAATCTGAGCGAGTGCTGTGTGTAAGGTAAGGTAGGTAAGGTAAGGTAAGGCGAGGTAAGGCCAGGGAAGGCAAGGCAAGGCACTGTACCGTAGGAACGAAGGAGGGTCAAAGTCAAGGACCGGGGAAGAGGAGGAAAAGGAACGAAGTGAACGAGCGCAGAGGATGTGGGACGGATGTGACCTGACCAGCTCTGGGTGAAGGGGAAGGAAAGTAAGGTAAAGTGCGATGGGAGGTTTTGGCTCTACCACTCTCCTCTTCCTCTTCTTGCCCTGGCTGGCTCTGGTTCAACGAGAGGACGGCAGCGTCACTCAGGGGCAAGCGACGAATGATGAGAACGGACTCTTTAATTCGAAAAAAAGTACAGAGAGCACTGACCCTTGCTTTTCCCAGTAATTATGACCAGGGGTGGAAGACCTGCCGCCCGAGGTATCTTTCGTGTGGCAGCAAGGCTGAGCGATACCTCGCCCAGGACGGCGCTGGGGACGTGGTGAGACCCTGTTCGGGATTAGCGGCACGGGCGTTATGAAAGGGTATCGATACAGGGGGTCGAGGTGCCAGAGATGTCCTGGACGATTGGGCCAGCGCCGGGGCATACTTCCGCGCTAGTGATCTCATGTACACAGGGCCCGCCCGTCACCTGGCGCTCATCCCACACAGAGTTCCCGACGTACGTGGATATTCTTTTGGGAGAAGTACATTCATCACAGGAGGCCACTGATGCGATCGACATGATTTCGGACTCCCTCCCCAAGTCCCCTGATTCAAAAGAAAGCGAGGTGGTCCATATTCACTCATCGACCCGTGCTCCCTCGAGTCGGAGGTGCCTTTTTTAGAATGAGAGGGTCTTGAAGCCAGTGGTTCGGGCTGCCTTAGGTCCGTTTGGGAAATCGACTAGACACTTACGGCGCGGCAATGGCCCATACTGTTACAGGTCGTGGGTGGTGCAGCGGCTTCCACTGCTGTGGGCGTTTGTAGGTGGGGGGTTTTGTTCCCCAAAGGGGAGGCCGTGACAAGGCCTCTGGACACTGCAGATGAGAGCAGTGAAGGCCTGTCTGTCCGAAGAGGGCTTTCAGAAAAGAATTGTCATGGAGCTGCACAAATCTTGTAGCAAAACCTCGTCCCTTGATGCACTTTCGACTTTCCAGAGGCATTCGCCAGATTGCCATGGCTCACTCCCCAAGTCATGTTTCAGACAACAGACGGGACAAGCCTCTGCTATGCCCTAGCCGGCCCGCCATTACTTTTAGGCTTCTCAGGGTCCGCAACGGGCCCCGTCATCGATGGCGGCGAGGCGTCATCGCGAGGTTCTGTCGCTCCATTCCACCTGTTCGTACGTTCGTACTCACCTCACCTGTAGGTACCTACCTTGGGGAGGTACCTAGGTAATGTAGATAGGTAGGCAGGCAGGTACCTAGGTAGTGACAATTCACCACTGTGCCTCTTCCGGCTTAGCGTCTCGAGCATTTTCCATGCACACAACGCAACCTCATGCGCGTGGTCCTGCACCCCCACCATCACCACGCATCTTCAGCGACTGGCCCCGGCACATTCGCATCGGCTGCCGGCCAAAAGCCGTGCACAGCAGTTCAGCCGCGAGCCTATCCTGCGCCATCTTTGCCACAAGAAAAAAACAGGAGACGCCCTCTGTTGTCATGAGTGTTGCGATGCTTTGCTCGAGTCTCTCTGCCCCTGTCGGGCATTCGATGTACCTTTTGCGCCCAACTGCTTCTCTCGGCCGCCCGTCGAGCCGAATCCGGTGCCAATCCTGCCAGCATACCCTGCATGAGCTGGCCGCCTGCCAACGCATCCTGGACACCCAAGCTGAGATCCCTGGACCAACAGCTCATCATCCTCAATGGAAGAAGCCTTGTCTGCCAGGCCATTGGCTGCGCACCAGTCATGAGCTGGCAGGTGGCAGTGCCATCGCTACCTGGCTTGCCTGGAAACGACGTTCCATGACCGCGATTGACGGCGTGCCTCTGACGCCTCTGTCCTCTACCTCTTGTGGAGAGGATGGAGAAGGGGAGGGGAAAAATCAGATTCCCCTCACCGCTTTGGATCCTCTCTCTGTGATCAGGGTTGGCATCTGACTTTTCGAGGAAACAAAGGTCCTGCGTCGAAAGCCGTTTCGGTCGCTGATCATAGATGCCCCATTACTGCACACCCGTGGTAACCTCAACACAAAGGGCTGGCCCCTCACTCCGACCTTGGGTACCCCAGTGGCCTGAAATAATGCGCTTGTGGTCCCAGGCTTTCTTCTGCCAATCATTCCGCCCGCGCCGCCGGATGCAGGATGAAGTCGAAACAGCGTCTGCAGACAGACATACTTTCTGCTCCCCAGAACACTAATTGTTCGTGATTTCCCTTCATCTGCCTAGACCCTCTCCGTGATGCACTGGCTATCGCTGCTACCCACGTCACATGGGTCTCCAATTTTTTTTTCCCTTTGTACGGGCTGACCCACGCGCATGTGCTCCGTGCTACTTATAGGTCAGGCATCGTTCGACATGGCAGGGTGTTGATTTTTAGACCTTGACGCGATCAGTGGCCTGTGAGTCCGAATCATACGACGGTGTCGAGATTGGCGAGACCGTCAGGACTCTGTGCGTTGGGCGATACGCCAGCACGTGTCCGTTTCGGTCGAGGTCAGGTTTGATCTGCCATTGTCGAGGCGGGCTATCCTTATCAGCCCTGACCATTCGACTACCATGGCGACGGTAAACCATACGAATAGATACTCTTCATATCGTCTGTGATACGTAATTCGAGAACACCCTTGTATTTTGTGTAAATCAGTCACGATTCGTCACATGTAATAGATTCCAGGGTAAAAAACGCCGACCCGCTCATAATGACATGTATGTGCCTAGACTTGCAACGGCCTAGGCCGTTGACTCCGTCGTGCCCTACTCCTTGGGCTCAACCCCGGTGACATCTCCGTTCGTGCCATCAGCCTTGGCCTCATTCTTCAGCTGAGTCTGCGCCTTGGCTTCGGCCTCAGCAAGAGCCTGCGCCATGGCCTCCTCCTCAGCCTCGTCCGCCTCCTCGCCATCGTCCTCCTCCGTCGCCTTCGTCTTCGCCTCCTCCATAACGGGCGTCTCGGCAGGCTTCACAGCGACCGCCTTCTTCGCGGCAGCGCTCAGCGTGCTGCCGCCGCCGCCGAGATCCCAGTCAATCTCGGCCTCGTCGCCGTACCTCTGGACGAGCCACTCGTTCGACTTTTTAAAGTGCCCGCAGTCGAAGAAGCCGCGCGACGCGCTCAGCGGGCTCGGGTGCACGCTCTTCAGCACGAGGTGCCTCTTCTGGTCGACCTTGAGCACCCTCTTGCCGGCGGGCGTGCCCCAGGCCAGGAAGACGACGCCGCGCGTGCGCCGGGCGGCGACGAGGTCGATGACGCGCTGCGTGAAGCGCTCCCAGCCGCGGTTCGAGTGGCTGTTGGCCTCGTGCGCGCGCACCGTTAGACACGTGTTGAGCAGCAGCACGCCGCGGTCCGCCCACGGCGTCAGCAGGCCCGCCTTGTTGGGCGGCGGCGTGAAGGTCGGGTAGTCGCGCTTCAGGGCTATGTACATGTTCTTGAGGGACGGGGGCGCCGGCGTCGGGGCCCGGACGGAGAAGGCGAGGCCGTGGGCCTGGTTGATGTTGTGGTAGGGGTCCTGGCCGAGGATGACGACCTTGACCTGGTTGAACGGGCAGTGGCGGGACCTGTTTTTCCCACTTCGTTAGCTTGACCGTGTCTCGACCTGTGGCTGGATAGACATTAAGGGGGAAGAAGGTGAACGTGGCGTACCATGAGTAGACGTCTTCCTTGGGCGGAAACCACTTGCGTCCCATCTCCGTCTCGCGGTTGAGGAACCGCTTGAGGTCGAGAAACTCCTTGCTCGTCACCTCGTCCTTGAGCAAACCCAGCCAGCTCTCGTGCAGCGTCTCAATCTCGAGCTTCAGCAGGTCCTTCTGCTCGGGCGTCAGACCGGCGACCCATTTCGCCTTGTCGAACTTTGCTGCCGGTGCCTCGGGAGCGGCTGCGGCTTTGGCGGCGCCGGGGACGGGTTTAGGGGCGCCGAAAAAGGAGGTGATGTTGCCGTTCTGCTTCGGCTTCTTGGCGTCTGAGGCGGCAGGCGTGTCGCCGGCCTTGCGCTTGAGTGTGCTCGTCATCGTGAGGAACCGAACTTGGGACAAGGTGCTGCGAGGCTTGGATGATCGTCTGGGACGCAAAAGAGGATTTCGAACCCGACGTTGTGGGCGAGCGTGGGGACGGAGGTGGAGGAGAAAAGAGGAGCTCGTACGGGGGCGTAGACGATCAATTTTGAAGCCGGCGAGCATGCACGTTGACCAATTGATTCGAAGTCCGGCAGTTAATAGACAAGGTTCGTGTTCGTGAAGAGTGGGAGCGAGCCAGGCAGCAGAGGTGCAGTTGGCGGATGGTCAAACAGTGTGGAAATGGGAGGCGGAATTCACCTGTCAGCTCGAACCTTGTCGTTCGATTCGGTCCAGGTTCAGTGTCTGGAGTCGAGGCGCGTCTGCACGACGCTAAGGCCCTTTAGTGAACGTCATGGATCGCGTCGACGCGTCTGGCGGTTAAGTGGTGCAGCCTGCCACTTCGCCTCGATTGATCCCAACAGCTTCTGGGTCCACCACTGCCATTAAACAAACCCACTCATGATGCGTAGATGGATGGTCTTCAAAAACAAGTAGTCATGTGTTGTTTGTACAAGAATTATTTTGTCTAGCAGGTATACCAGGTCAGGCTTCACGCCCAAGCCCTCCCCCTAAATCCACAAGTGAGAGAATCCCTCCCCAACGCCATACAATGCATCAAGCGCGCACGCTCGCCCGTCCGCTTCCCCCCTTCCTCGCTCAGAACGTGTTTTTCTCTTCTCCGTTGTGCTACTTTCCTTCGAGCTCATCTCGCGATGCGGCATTCGCGCCCCTGAAGACCTTTTTGCCAATCTCGTAGCTGCTGATCATGATGGCACACGCCGGTGCAATCTTCAGCGTCCGCGGTATCCAGCCCTTAAACAGGCCCGGCACGCCCTCCGTCTTGAAAATATGCCAAAGGAGCCGTGTCATGCTGCCCTCTTCCGGGACGGCCGCCTTGGAGGCACCGTTCTTAGCTGCCGAACTGCCGTCGCGATAGACCTGCGTGCGCGTCTTGCCGACATCAAAGGGCATCGTCACGATCGAGGCCGCAGCGCCTGAGACGGCGCCGGCGATGAAACTGTCGACAAAAGTGTCCGTGTGGTTCTCACGGCTCTGCGAGCGGCGCCGCGTGCGTGTTCGGCTGCCCCTGGCCTCGAGAGACCGCCCTCGCTTCGTCTCGCGCATGTCTGTGAGACGGCCACGAATCGTCTCGTAGCCCCACCAGTAAAGTCCAGAGAAGGGCATGTCGCGCCAGAGGGTCAGACTGAGGCCTCTCCACAGCGACCGGTAGCCGCTGACCTGCACCATCTCCTGGACCGACTTGAACGTGTTGGTGAGATGGCTCGTCGTCGACGAACCAGCGGACGCCTGCAGTCGCGTGCGAAAGAGCTCGATCGGTCCGACAGCCGTGCCGGCCAGGGCGCGGGCGGCAGAACCGGCAACGAGAGGAGCCGAGTCGTCTCCGAGGCGCTGCGCGAGGGGGCTCTTGGGGTTGAAGCGCAGCCAGTCGTAGCCGGTAAAGTAGATGATGTTAGCGGGGACCGCCATGACCAGCGTCGGCGAGAGGCCCCTCCAGAGGCTGGTGAATCCCTCGTGGCGCGCAATCTTGCGCATGCCGTCGAGGGTCGAACTAAAGGTTTTCCGTTCCGCCTCCTCGGCAGCGCATTCGGCGGCTGTGAGCACGGCGCCGCCGGCGGCGGGCTTTTGCGGCATGGCGAGGCAGAACTCGGCGTTGTTGTTCATGAAAAAGACTTCTCGGCAGCACGCGGCAACACCGAGGTTGGCGGATGGTATGGGGTTTAGGTGGGTGGTCGTCAGGGCGAGTTTGGAGAAATCGATCGGTGCGCGCGCCGACACTGGCTGCGACTGCCATCGGACTCGGACAACGTCGAGAGGGGTGACTGCATTCCGTCAGATGATGCACGACATACAGAAGGGGGGAAAAGATGTTCACATACCGAGCAGAGATGTCAGGAGACTGCCAGACATTGCCGACAGCATCTTCTGGGTTGCCGTGATATCATCGTCGCCTCTCGCTGCGCCCTTGTCGCCCTTGTCGGAGATCACCTCGGCCATGGCCACTGAGCCATCGTGGCCCATCCTCTCAGTAAAATGGTGGCCATCTGTGGCCTGCAGAGTCGGACTCATGGCCAAGAGCCTCGCATGTTCGGGTGGCGATGGCAAAATGGATGCGCGCAATCGGGGCAAGGGCGTGGTATAGTCGTCGGTCGAGTGGATGCTGGCGAGTGTTGCTGATAGCGCAAAAGGCGAGCCGCAGAAATGGAGTATCAGATAAAGTTATAGGATATTCACCGATGAGATAAGCTGCTGTTGAATGGCGATGGCGATGGTGTCGTTGGAATGATCTAGGTGTTGAGGAGAGTAGGGTGGCGCGTCATTGACTCAACTTGCTGCGACGTCGCTCTAGGGGTTCCCCCCCCTAAATTTTTGAGCCGGCGATATGGGATAGAGCGGGCCACATCGGCGGATTGAAAGGTCCAGGCCGATCTCTTGGGCCGAGCTTAGACGCTGGGGTGATGTCACGACGTCCGGTTCCTTCTAATTGGGTGGACATGTGGGTGGGTCCGTGATAAGCACAGTCGGAACGATAAGAGCCCGCGCCTTCCAATTCCCGGCCTGAACCCTTGGCTCTTGTAGTTCACCGAAGCCAACTGTCAGTCACGCCGTTGACTCGATCGGTGATGCAACGGCCTAGACGCACCTCATCCATCCCCTCTATTCGTCACCACAACTCAGACCCTAGGTTCGACAACTCTACCGCCTTTTGACTTAAGACTGTCTCCCGCATTCCTCATTTCACGCATCAAAAATTTGATAGAGCCTTGTTCCATTAGACTTGAGTCATTTCACCTCATCGGATCAGAACTAGAACCCTGATGGCACTCTCATAGAAGTACCTTACATTACTAATCCGCCGTCTCTCTTCCCCTACGATGGAAGGCGATGCCAAGCCCGAGCTTGACTCCGAGCTCGAATTCTTCCGACGTCAGTGGAAGTCTGAACTGCGGTCGAAGAAACCAGAGTCATCAAGTCAGCTAAAAGATTCACGCAAGGCCAAGGCTACCGCATCCGTCCCCAAACCACCTCATCGGTCAGACCCGTCATCGTCAACTTCACCCTCGCATGTTCGCCACAAGTCACAGCAAGATGAAGATAACGACTACGTCAGGCCACCCGTTTTTGATGGCCCCGACGGGCCTTCAATATTGTCAGATGAGATGGTGAAGTCCGATGCCTTGGAGAAGCCAGGACCCATATCGGCCCTCGACCATTTCGAAGAGGCTGCGAAGAAGGAAGCCATTGGCAACCTCGGCGAAAGCCTTAAGCTTTACCGGAAGGCATTCCGTGTAGGTGTGGCCTGACCGATCAACAAGGACCAGCAAAACTGACTTGGCACCTAGATGGATGACCGTGTAGACTTGCAGTATAGAAAGAAGCACTTTCCAGCATCAGCTGTCAAGGCAGCCGCCCCATCGACCAAGCCAGCAGACATCGGCGCTGCCGCCCCTGCACACAACGCCAAGACTGAAAGCCAACCGCAGACTTTCAAGGATCTCGTCGCGAGCTTCTCCGGCCTATCAATTGAGCCCGCAGGGCCACCGGTCGAAGGCGACCCAGCACCACCTTGCCCCATCGCGGATGTGCCGCAGGAAATTCTTAGCCACATCCTCACCGACGTGGCCATTGACGACGTCGGCGACTTTGCACGTCTCTCACGGGTCTGCAAGCGCTTCGCCTACATGGTCGCCAACGAGAACCAGATCTGGCGCCGCGTCTGCCTCGGCCGCGAGACGGGCTTCGCAGGCATGCACTACGACTGGCAGACCGGCATCCAGTGGGAGCCCCTGGACGAGGATGACGAGATTAGCAACGACGGCACCGTCACCACGGCAGCCGCGCTCGCACGCCGCCGCGAGGCCGATAAGCTTGCGGCCACGATGGCTCTCTTCCCGGCCTACGCCTCTTCGTGGCAGCACATGTTCCGGCACCGCCCGCGCGTGCGCTTCAACGGGTGCTATATCAGCACGGTCAACTACATCCGCGCCGGTCAGGCGTCGGCGAACGCCGTTACGTGGGGCAGTCCCGTACACATTATCACGTACTACCGCTACCTGCGCTTCTTTCGCGACGGCACCGTCATCAGCCTCCTCACAACATCAGAACCCGGCGACGTCGTGCACCACCTGACGAAGGAGGCGCTGGCCTTGCATCAGGGCGGCGCGGTGGCGCATCTGCCCTCCATCGTCATGGTGGATGGACTGCGAGGTCGATGGCGGCTGACATCGGCAGACGACGAGGCCGAGGCCGAGCCACCGGTTTCGGCAAAGGACGCAGAGGCCGGCCTGGTCATTGAGACGGAGGGTGTGATCGATAAGTACACATATCGCATGGACCTGTCGGTTCGCAGCGCGGGCAAGGGCGCGCGCAACACCAAGGTGGTGTGGAAGGGTTTCTACAGCCACAACAAGCTCACAGATGACTGGGCCGAATTTGGGCTGAAGAACGATAAAGCCTTCTTCTTCAGCCGCGTGAGGGGCTACCGCGCTGGCGCGTGAGAGCTGGCAACAGCGGTTCTCCATCTTTTGTCACATGCGTGTGTGTGTGTGCCCCTGCCTGCGGCCCACGATCGGAAATCCGGGGATATCCTGGGGTTGCTGCGGGGTTCCACAACTTGCATTTAGAAGTACGTAACATAGACTCCGGGTTGGGCAGGAGGCGACATCAAGTATACAACTGCGACGGCTGACGCACAACGTGTTGAGAGACCTGGGCGTCTTTCCGTAGTGTGGTCTCTTATCGACCAGTCTGCGGCCGCAATGCTGGCTAGTGCATCAACAGAAAGTGTGCTGGTGACCACGCAATGACTCAAAGGTGGGCTGCGCCTTGGTGACATGACACGTGGATAGACATGCAGCAAGTCGAGTATATACAACTAGGCATCGCCGCGCGTGTTGCACTCTGCATAGATGCTGGCGGTGAATTGAACTCGCATA